CAGCCAATCTAGTTAGGGCACAGAGACTGCATAAATGCTGAGGTCGTAAATCATAGCACAGGGCATGGAGCTTTCACCTTAATGGAAACCAAATATGGGATATGCTGCTCTTTGAAATGTGGCACAGATGATCATAACGAGGAACCAAGAAAAAATGCTACAGAACAGAAAACTATCGTTGATGTGGAAATAAGTTCTTATGAGTAAATGTTTGTTTTAAGTCAGTACTCATAAGTCAGTATTCCAACACTGGTAAATTACACTGAGAAACAAGTGAGGTAACAGCAAGTCTTTGTACGATGAAAGGAGAAATAAGTAGCATGGTAATATATCACATTAAGAGGGACTGCTGTGGAATGCAGAATACAGTGCAAATCAGTTCTTTAATAAAGAGATTTTATATATTTTATCCAGATAAATTAGCTGACACACTTATAAGAAATACCAGAATTGCATCAAAGCTCAGAGAAGCAACCCATTTGGTACAGAATACCGTCTCCAAAAGTTTTTGGAACAGCTGCATCTACCAAGTTTAGATACTCTGGAGGAGTAAATAAACAATTTGACCACAACGAAGTTCATTTCTGCCTTCATTAGTTAAGGGCTGAATTATACCCTGCAGCACAATATTTTATATATCTTCCAAAGTTGGTTATACTTCTAACACACCACATGCCCACATAAAACAGAAAACAAATTATTCATTTAAAATAGCACATGTGTATACAACCTCTCTTTTTCTCTCTTTTCCCCAATTAAAGTTGTCTTAGATTTTTATCCTTCCTACCTGTAAATTAATACATGCCTGCCAATGCTTTCATAGCCAGGCAGCCGAGGAAGCTGCAGTGCAGGAGGAGGCTGGGTAAAGAGATTTACTCTCAGATACAATGCCCTAGCTGAAACAAAGGTAAAAGATAAACAAGCACGTCAAGACAGACATCTGTATTTCCTCCTCCACCTTCCTCACTCCTAGCCCCTTAGTTTAAGAGTCTTTCTCAGTACTGAGTTGCAGCCACTATGAGAGTTGGTGAAAATATTTAAGACAAGAGTTCCAACAACATGTCAATGGCTTTCATTTCTACTTGCTCCTCATTAGTACTACTGTCAAATAACAGCCAGTGCTTGACCAAAATCAGCTCATGGAATATGCTGACCGATGCCAAACCAGAGCAGTTGGATGGAAACACTTTGAAGAGATGTACCATCATCACAGATTTATTTTTACATATCGTGCCTGCTTACTGTCACATAACTGAACACACAAGCAATGTTTTCTGCTACCTCCAGGTGGTTAGGAGACTGCAGGCCCAGCCTGACTGAAAATGATTTGGCTATAGTAATATATATGATCATCACATTACACAGGCATGAAGTAATCAGCCTAAAGAAAACTAACTAGTATAGGATGTGGCAGCAGAGATCCTCAAGCAGAAACACATTAGCTCCTTAGTTTACTGTCTACAACCAGTCAAATATAGTATCTCTGCCCTTATCATCAACGTTTTCAGTGACCTCCACCCAGGAAACAATTCTCATAAGATCTAAAAATTTCCTCAAACATCACTTTTTTTTTTTTCTTCCAAAAAAAGCAGACCCTGCTTCTTTCACCTAACTGTCCATATTGAAATACATACACCACAAGAAACAGAAGATGCATGCTTTCTTGCTCCACAGCAAGTTGCATCAACTCACTTATCTGAAGAAAAATCTTTGGCTGGATAAGGCCGACCCAATTAGATGGGCAGCGAGGGTAAGAGGCTAGAGCCAGAGGGCAGGACTGCTCCTCCTGCTGGAACTGCAATCATTAGCTGCTTTTTTCACAGCCACCTGAGTTAATTTAATGGCAAAACAAGAAAGGCTCGCTCCTTGTTTCCTCTGCTTTTCTTCTCTCTCACTGCTCCCCTAGTTTTCTCCATTTCTTCTGTATTTTCCTCCTAGTTTTTACCCAGAAAGCCTTCCTCCCATGCAGTAGTTCTGGTAATTGTCAGACCTTTTTATGAGCCAAATGCAATCATTTGTGGTCTAAATCACCTATTTTTACTAGTTAGAGTACCCTGCAAATAGTACTGCAAGGATATTTACTTCTGAAATCTTATCTACTGGTTCTAAAATATTCATGAGAAATATGAACATATGAAACAGAGTGACAGAAAAACTAACATGTATAGACAGGAGTCACATAATTTTTCGTTAAATATTCAACATGTTGTATGGCAAAATCAGTCTTGCACTTATTGGCTGCAATGTGCACCATTAACTTAAGAATGTTGGGATAGAATTATTTGTTAAATTCTAGACACACTGAGTAGTGCCATCATGCCTCTTGCAGTCTATTTCTCTTTATCCCTAAGTGCCCTTGAAAGACTTAATTTATAGACCCAAAAAGTAAGTCAACAGAAATTCTTTTACATGATGTCATGCATTCATTCCTATTTGCTCATGAATACTGGATTACTAAAGAATTGGTTTTTTGTTAACATAAAATGACGAAAAGGTAAGGAGTACATTATTTAAGTATAGTACAAATTACGAGTACTGAAAATATAACATTAAAAAGACGAAAGGCAGATAAATCTAGATGTATAAGATGGGATAGGTATGAGGCAAGCAGAAAGATTAAATAAATGGTTTAATTTACACCTCTCAAAAATTATAAGTGGATTTGAAGGAGAAACAGAGCAAAAAAAGTTGAAAAGCAAGCAGATAAAAATTAGTAGGACATATGTAGCAGAAATAAAAAAAAATGCTTATGAGATAGATTTATGTTTATGGGCCTCACAAGATTTTTGAAGTTATCTACACTATTATACTCGGACAGATAGATAACCTGTTATAATGTTGAAAAGAAACATTTTTTAGGACAAATTTTACACTTAATTTCTGAGAAAACCTTTTATTTATTTGTTTGTTTGTTTGTTTGTTTATTATGTTTTCTGGTATCTGCTGGTTCAAAATGATCAGGTCAATAATGACAAAAAACTTTAATATTTGAAGACTTTTCAAGACAAATTGACAAATATCTGGCATTTTCTCTTTGCTTAGAATTTTTTGCTCATAAAACCCATCATAACAACATTACCACCCATAAGAACATTCCTACCATGAATCCAGAAACTGTACAATGCATTGAGAGCACAAGAGCAAAACCCATGGTGGTGGATCATTTATATCAAAATGGGGGACCCTTTGATGTTCATCACAAACATCACAAAAGCTATTAATAAGACAAACTTGCTGATTTACGATAAAATGTAAGTCTCTAGTGCGGATCTATTGGCATTATTCAGAAGCATTATGTATTCTAGTCTCTCTGGCAGCACCTAGTCTTTCAGTATTTTCAAAGCAAAAAAAATGTGAGCAAAGTGCTCCTGTTGTTAAACATGGACTACCTAGTCAGTGCCAAACAAGGGACTAAAAAAAGAGTAACAGAGAAGTATAGTATAAAGGACAAAAAGAAAAACACTAGACAGAAGAAAGGATAGGAACGTACAGTAGGAAAGAATTACAGATGGCAAAGAAGTTAATATTTTAATGACAGATAGATGTAAAGAACAGAATAAGAACCATTTCATTTTATTTTCTTCTTCATGACAGAATAGGAAGCCGTGTAGTTCACTACAAACAACAGAAATCAGAAATAACAATCTGATAATTTTACTTCTACTTGCTTTTTAGTAGGAGACACTTTTACACGTGTACACACACACCTCAGCAAGTACATGAATTTTTTTTTTAATTTAGAGTATATATTTTGACATATAATTCTCCCCAAATTCAGTTAGAATACCCAAGTATCTCAAGTCTGAGAGCTATATCTCAAGGGCCATAGAATTAATTGCTAAATTTTAGAATTCTTTGCTTCAAGCCTATCTATTGTAGTAGGCTACTCAGTAAATAATGAAAACACTTTCCAAATGATATTTAAGCAAGTAAAAACCTTAAAATATCTGTTCAGGTCTGGCAGACTCTTATCAAAGGAATTCAAGAACTGTTTGATTTATACACCAGAGTTTTGACAATATAACAATAAGGGAAAAAATCAAAACAATTCCTGCTTCATGGCATTTATCTAGCTTTAAATATTGTCCAACAATTATTATTTCCTACCCCAGGTAAAAAGACAAAAAACAGAAGGCCAAAAAGACCCACAGTAGCATAAGATATTTTTCCACTCTTGATCTCTTGGAAAAGCAGGAGAATTAGCACTACTACCAGAAACCTCCAATTAGGAAAGTTGCTATAAATTTTGCAGATGTTTCAGGTCAAAGGAACCATTTTGAACTCCACCAGTAACAGGTCTGAGTCTCGATCCCTACTGTTTTATTTCATTTTTTCTGGTTTTAAGCCAAAAGTTAACTTTCTGATAACAGTTCTACTAGTCTAGCAAACTGTTAATAAGCTTGCTGATAACTGTCTTTTTGCTGTATCAACTGTACCGAAAAAAATGTTAGATGAAAAGGCAAAAGTCACAAACAGGATAAAAATAAGTCTTAAGAAAAAAAAAAGACCATACTTAATCAGACCAAAGGCCTATTTAGTCCAATATTGCATGTTTGTCAACGGCTAAAAGTCCGTTTTTGAGGTACAGTATAAGTACAGAACAAAATATTTGATATTTAAGACTTGTCCAGCCTCCAAGCATTTTCAGATTTGCCCCATGAAAGGTGAGTTAATCAATTCAAATTGAGCAACATATTTCTGTTATTCCCATCAAAACATATGGCCACAAATATATTATTTTTGCAAGAACTGGTAAGTGGACACTTTCCCGACTTTCGTCAATGTAAATTGGCATCTCTGTAGCAAACCCCAATAATTTTCTTACAAGTTAATCACAAAAAGTGAGAAATAAAGAAATAAGAAAAAAAAATCAATATTCTACTAAAATAGTATAATATAAAATAAGGAAGCAAAATATAAATTTGTAGTGTTACTGTTTTTTCTAAAAAGATTAAAAATCTAGGGTCATTACCATAGACATTTCAAAATAAATGTCTTACCTCATATGCATAGCCGAAGGAAGAAAACTGACTCCTTAAGTAGCCAAGTTTGTATACACCTACAAAGACCAAGCAGCGGACGATTTCAAAAATTCCTGCTTTGGGCCTAGAAATGGGAAGTAATTTAGATTAAAGTCCAATCTTTTCTTCTTTGTTAACTTCAGTGAAAAAGAGAATGTAGAAATAGTCTGCAATGTCCTGTACTTAAATCAAGTCATCTTTCTTAACCGTATAGTTAAGTTTTATAGTATACATCTTATATGGACACTGAGTTTGCTGGGGGTAGGAATACACATACTCACAAACTATATATGAACTCACACAATAGTAGATGTATATATATGGCTATTGTCTTTTGATCTCAAAAAGACTAGCAAAATTCTGAAAACTGCTACATGAGTAGTTCAGAGTCTTTTAATCTGTAACTTTTTACTAATTCACATTAACCCACTAAGTTAACATGTCTCTGGCATATTGACAGATTTTTACCTGTCCTGAAATAAACTATTCAATCCATACAAGTGAAAGTCTGGAAACATAATGAACAGCAGGTGCAAAGCGGGGCTAGCACCTCAATCTCAAATGAAGCTTCTGTTCCACATTTCTGTGGGCAGGGCAAAATAGTTTCTCTGTAAGAAACTGGAGCTGCTATTTATTCTTCTGTAGGGTCACGGTGCCCATATGGACTACTTCCATAGTGTATGTCTCACTGGGCTAGTGTATTCAAGCTCCAATTTGATTTGAAGCCATACTGATTAAATTTAGTCTTAAGTCTACACCATCCTTCACATGATTTTGAGTCTACTCTGAGCTACATTCTGTGCTTTTCATATACCATCATTATATCTGACACCTACGGCATGCTACACAGGACTTACACAGTATGATTGCAGTCTGAACTTGAACAGCCTTGGAACAGCCTGCAGGTCTCACTGGCCTGTCAGTGTCCCAAAACCAGAGATGTGGACCCAACAAATGCAAGCACAGAGGGTGACATGAGTAGCCCATCCCATAACTTTTCTGCAAGGGACAATATAGACATAGCCACTAATTGTTATGGGAACACTCTTGGGTTTAGGTGCTGGCTGTTCATGTGTTATTTTCTAGTCAACAGACAGCAGCACATGTGTCTGAGTGTACCTATATTTCTTTATCAATATAATTTCTGACACACTTGAGATTTCCATATAATGATAAATAAGGCATAATGAGAGATGAAAAGAAAAAGCATGTTTTGTATCTTGCCTGTTCTCCATAAGTAGTCCGAAAGAGGTCAGGGACACAATGATAAAGCCAATTCTCAGGAGAATAGTTCCCTGTGATAACGCCTGTTAAAAAGTAGACAAAGAATTCATTTAGAGTAATTTTCTGAAGAGCAACTGAGTTTTCACAGAACAGTAGCTTCAACTTCCTCACTCAGTGATGTCAGTGTCTGCTTTTAAAGTCATTTGTTACTTTAAATTTTACAACAAAAATATCTGATCTGTATAGCACACTTATCTGGAGTAACCACCTTTATAGTTGTTTCCTGAATGCTGTATTTCCAAAATAATGATTAAGATATTCCCTTTTGCACTGTGTGTTTTCCTGAAGTTATTTGATTCCTTTATGCCTTTACCCAAGAGGGAAAAAACTTATTTCTAGATAAAAATCCTAGCAGCCCTGTTCTTTTTCTTCATCTTATGTTATCAGGTCTTAAAATTGTCATCTATGAATCCCAATGGGTACCAAAAACAATACATTGGTGAGAATAAGAATTCACATGACATGACAACATAACCATATTTAAGAAGAAAAAAAATGAATGTTGTCCCTTCATGACAACTCGACACTTGGTTCCCAATTCAGCAAAACTCTTCGACTCATAGCATTAACTTCAATCAAACTTAAAACACTTTTAAACATTAACATGTGTGTTAGTACTTGGATGAATAGCAGCATGAGGATTTATGTCCTTAAAATTTACATCAAAATGATATAAACAAGACTCAGGAAAACAGAAATTATTTTCATTGTGAAGTTTGAATTTTTTCTTTTCATTTATTAAATATTTTTTTGTATTCTACACAGCTGCCTTTGAAAATCAAATATTTAATCAGTTTTCTTGTTCCCTCCCTGACTTCCTTTCAAATATTAGTTTTGAAAAGCCTTTGTTTTTTCATTTATAAAACAACAAAAAACCCCAAACAAAAGTAGTGGATTTTGCTGAGTTACAGGAATCCTTTCTGGCTTCAATAGCAATAAGGTTTATGAACAGCATCTTGCACTTTAAGATTGCAGGCATTGGAAAAATAAAAATCTACGAATGTCTGCCCTGATTTCAATAAATCCCGTTCAGTGACATGCCCACCTTCCTTCGGTGGTGGCCCCTACCCCTCGAAGAGATCTAAGGTAAGTATCTGTGAGCGTGGGAGGCCACAAGAGGATATTCTCAAGTTTTACAGCTGTGTGAAATTACAGTGCCCATGTTTGCAAAACACATCAAACCACACACTCAGGCTGGGTAGGTTTCTGTTGTTTTACTGAAGAATCACAAGCACCTACTTAGATATCCTTAAGAAACAGCTATCAAACAAAGAAAACACAATCCCAGCAATGAGCGAGCTAAACAGCAGCCTCACCATTTTACAAGCCAGAACACACTTCTCACAAATGACACCTGTCAAGCCACTCTGTTGCACAGATTTATACCAGAATAGATCAAACTCATTATTGTATCACTACATTTCTAATCTGTTCCATCCTTCCTTATGATAAACTTACAAAACCTCAGACTGATGATTACCACCATCATCTACTTGTATATACTTATGCTTGAGAAATGATATTCTTTACACTTTTCTTATGCTCTTACCCTGAGCATCTGCTATCAGCCACCACAGGAGACAGGATATTGAGCCCTGGGGGGACTCTATAGGAGTTTTGTGTTGAGACTGTCACTTAAATCAAGAAAGCAAAAAATGCTCTAATGGGTTTATAGTCCTCTATCAAGGTTTGTATGACTTGGAATACATTTGCAAATTCCAGATACAAGTTTTAAAATTCGTCAATAAAAGATTGAGGGTGCTCTTTTTGAAAACTTCAATTTCTAGAATCCAAAAATCCCACGACTATCCTAAGTTTAAAAGACTTTCCATTGCTAACATGAGGCAATTTATTTTGAAGTGACAAAATTTTTGGACAGAACTTTTTTATAAAAATCAGGCACAGACTCTAAGTTTAATAAAATGAGTAGTTCTTAAACTGCTCATCTAGTCACAGTAAGTTCAACTCCTGCTTCAGCTTGCTGTAGAAACTGGGTCATACGAAAATTCAAGAAGTGAGCAAAGAAAAACATAACGTGGCATAGGTATAAGGGAAGTCACCCATAAATTTCTTAGAAATGCTTTGATATGTTTTTCAATGATTGTTACTTGTCAAATAAAGGAGTTTGCCCCAGAACTAGGACTGGAATTCAAGACTTTCCTCCTTAGAGACTGTCCTCACTTTTAAGTTAGAGAATTACACCTTTTTTTAAACCTAGTCCTTCTGACCAGGTGGGTCTGATCTTGCTTTGTGTTTCCAGTGCAAGGCACTAGCTTCTACAAACTGCCTTAAAAATGTTCCCACAGTGGTAGGGCACTATTCTGAGAAACAGAACATAAAGTTTTGTGTCCTCCTTAGGCAGGAAAGAGAACTGAACATCAAATCCAAATTTCAAGCAAGCCATGTAATTGCTACATTACAATATATGGCTAAAATCAAACTTCATGGAAAATGAATGAGCCTGCAATGGTTTTGAGAGAACAAATGTTAATATTTGTCTTCAGGAAGGATCCAGCAGTACCTGCTATGAATGAATAAGGGTGTCTCCAATTTGCAGATTAAAAGAGATGCATGATTTCACCCTTTTCTGCCCTCCAAGTGTTTGTGAGCTGGCTAGCATTAGTAAACCAGCCACCAAGTCCTAGGCATCTGGGTTTCCTTGTGATTCCACTTTCAGAAAACTGAGGTGCTGATTCATTCTACCTTCCTTTAAGTGCCTTTAATGAAGTGCCTAATAACCTGTTATTAACCTAAGCTTTCTCTATAATCAGTGGAGAGAGAGCACTTTCTGAATGGTTCTATTTCTTGCCAATAGCTAGACTGCAAGTCTACAGGCTAAATTTGGGCCTTACACTAAGAACTGGGTTTGAGTGGATGATGGAAACAGTTCTCTGAAGCAGACACTTTTGGGTCATATTTTAGTGGTGTTTTCTCTCGTAACTTCTATCATTTTCTTTGCTTAAAGATATATTTTAATTGCCATTTCTAGAAGAGTAGGAAAAAAATTTAAAAATTGCTCTTTTAAAGTTAGCATATTTTCAGGAAACAGTAATTTTTTTTATTGTCTTTCTATTATATTGTTTTTGTTGGATCTTGAAAAAATGATAAGCTTGATATTAGAGACACTGTAATATTGTAATTCAAACTGCAGTTTTCTCTCCACAAAGAAACAAATGATTGAATAGAAGAATTTGGAGTGTAACCCTGCACACTTCTCTTAAACATTTTCTCCAAGATGTGCATAATTCGAGCCTAGAGTTATCATTTGACTCTCCACATTTATTTAACCACAGAAGAAAAAAGCACAGATTAAGAACTTGAAAGGAAATTAATAAATTGCAGTTCAGTTTTAAACATGGATTTCCAGAAAAAAAATAAGAATAGAAATACATTTTAATGAATGTTAGTAAATCAGAAGAACGGAAGCAACCTTATCATTTAGGAAAATCAAACTCAAATATAAACAAGCCTTTATCTTTAAATGGTTAAAATGCTATATGAGGTTCTTAGGAATAATAACTACCTGAGCCAGGTATAATCATATTTTACAGATTCTGTTTCTCATGCCAATTTCCATTTCTCTTCAGATGGTCTCCTACTTGAACCATAACATTTTGAACACTAGTTGTTTGTAAAACTTCTTATGGTCCAATACCATCTGTTGCCCAGAATGTGAAGGACTGGAGGACTCTAAAGAACAACCTGCAGATCACAGTTATATTGCAAATTGGCACTGTCATCAGATTCACACAGATGCATGGCACTACAGTGCCCAAGGACAGTGTTGCAGCCTTCCACCTCCCAAGTCTTCAGCTTTCCAGAGTGATGAAGGGTGAGGCATAAAGCCTTACTGGGGACCATGAAGGTAGAAGGCGTAAGTTACCGTTCACTATAGATATACCACATCCACATAGAGCAAAAAAATATGTTCCCTCATTTGTGCTCCTAGTCAACGACTACCAAGAAATTTATGGTGAAATACACCATAATGCCATTTGGGAATAACAGCTTTCAGAAAACCAGCCATGTAGCATAAATTTTAGCATTATTAGTTTGCTTCCATAACTTTCTCTTTACAGGTCCAGTGGTATATTTACATGCTGCCTTCATTCTTTTATTTACTTTCAAACATATATCACCCTATGAAGTGGATGCTGGCAGCTGAGGCATCCATTTTCTAAGCATTACTCTACCAAAACCAACAAAATAGTCAGTGGGTTATATCACTAAACTAAACATCATATATTAAATCTACACACTGCAAGTTGCAGTGTGAAAAGAATGTGCCTTTTACACCTTCGTTAGTGCTAGCATCCTCGTTCCACTTAAACATAATATGCATGGATGTATATATAAAATAAATGAGTATTTATATACTAGAGTATTTGTATAAACAGAGAAGCCTGTGGGACCACAGCAGGTTCCCCAATTACAAGTCAGCCACAACTTCGTAATGTGGTTATTGGCTGCAATCAAACAGAAAAAAATATTTCTGTTGGATTTTGATTCCATTGAAAGCTTTAAAATTATCTTGGAGCCTCAAAAAAAAAGGGGGGGGAATAGAATTTGGGAAGAAGTTTACATGGCTTGGTAACCAACAGAATGCCACAGCATTATTTTTTAATGTTTTTTTAGTAATGAAAAAATAATTCATTTAAATGAAGGAAATATGTTATTCCAAATATGTATTTAGATGAACATTGAAATATTCCAAATGGACTTTTATATTTCAGAGAACTCAGGTTGTTTTATTCCTTTTGAAGAATAACATGGATGCATTTTCTCACCCTGATGGGTTCAGTGTTTCAAAAGAACTGCTAGGAACGATGTCAGCATGTTTCATAAATTAACAGATGCCCTGCTGTCATATATCAGACACTTTCGACATTCAAATGAAGAATGCTAAAACAATGCTATGAAATTTGTATTGTTAGGTGTCTTTGTCTGTTTGAATTTATTTTAACTTAGAATTGCTAAAAAAATTGTAAATTCTTAGCAATATTCCATATACAGTACTTGGTGATGTCCTACCGAATGGATACATTAATTGCATTCTCAGCTTTCAAGAGATCTATTTTATCCCTTATTACTTTTTGTCTAATTGAAACTGCTCGCATATTCATAGCATTATAAGCACAGTAAATGTTACAGTATCTATCAACAATAAAAAAGACACTGCAAAATGTGTTTAAAGTACACTTCACTTTGATTTATGTGATACATGCAGTTCTGGAGCTATGAGACTTTTGCTTTGAATGTACTGCAGTTTTACACTCCTAGCACTCTCTCTGGGACTGATCCAAATCCCATTTGTTCGATGAGCTTTGGATCAGATCTAGATGCGCAGAGCTCAGAAGTAATTTTTATTCTCTGGATGTAGTGCAGATCACTATATAGAAAATAAACACTGAATGCTCTCTCCTGTGGAAAATATATATTTGTTCTTTCTTGTTTTGCTCTTTTCATAAGTTAAATGTAGGTCATTCAGACTGAAGGTATATGGTTGCTCTTTATGGATCGAGAAATTTAACACTTCTACAGGGCGTGAGACCAAACACTGAGCAACTGTAATCACTTGAGAAATGTAATAGCTGTGTGCTGTGTCTTATGGCTATTATGAAATGGAACTTATACCGAAAAATGAGGAAAACAGTTAGCTCTCTCCATTTATGGAGCTATGCCACAGTTATGACATAATTCATAGCCAGACAGAAAGTTCCAGTTGTATCCATAGACATTTCATAACTCAGTGTAGTGGAAAACTGATATTGAAGAAAGATTTTTGCCAAGTAAAGTTATTCATACACAAGCTTCCTTCTCATGACAGCTTCCCCACTGCACTGCAGAGCGATGCTGGAACTCTGCCTTGGGACCAGCACTTTCTACACCCACGCTGAAAGTTTATGTCCTGAGATGAGGTGCTTCTAGTCCCCCCTGCTCTCCTTATCCTTACTACCTTATAACCCTACAGTTTTGTGCAGAGAATTTTCTAGTTGTTTTTATACAATAAGTTCATAAATGGTGGATCTTCAAGATGTTTCCTCCATGGCTGCAAGAATTTAATGATCATCTGGGGCTTGGGTGCATTTTTCAACTTCCCTTATTACTTATTCTTAAACAGCTGCGGTTATCAGCAGAGAAAATAATTTGGACCATCTATTTTTCCTTTCAGGAGCAGAAAAAGGCAAAAAGAGAAAAGAATAAAATAAGAAAAAACTCATGAGCAGACTCCTTGCTGCCAAAAGCAATGGCAACAAAGTAAAAAACAAAAAAACCCCAACTAAACGAAAAACCCACAGTTTGATCCCTATGCAAATATGACTTGCTTCTGGTCTGTAGGAATCTAGAGGCATATCTGGAAAATCTTGCAGAGGCTTTTCTCAAGTTAAGAACATTGGCAATTATGCATACTGTATATCTTGTATTTGTTGGAGGTATTTATCCTTACCTTTGGCTTAATTTCCTGTCCTCAGAAATTACTTAGAATAGACTAAGCCTCAGATGGCTTATTAATCTCTTAATTCCCTGTGGTTGTAGTGTGACCCTTTACAGAGGTGAACACAGTGTGTAGAATAACTTAATATTAATCAGAAGAGTATGCCTGAGGTAGCTTTTACATTACATAGGGAATAAATATATAAAATACTTACTCTGTAAACTTTTCTCAAAAATTGCATCATTCTACTGGTCTGATGTGCTACTCAGAATACATCTAACCAAAAACATGAAAAAAAATGGCTGTAGCAGCTAGTATATGCAGAGCTGCCAGAGCTGCTATAAGCCTGTTGCCACGTATCACAAGAAATTATTGCAGGCAGAGTTCCTCTCCTGCCTTTCTTGCCCTGGGATGCAAGAGGAATGTCTGAGTCAGAAGACCAAAACAAATGTCAATGTTCGGACAAGATTTCTGATAGCTTTGAAATGGCTTTGCCATCCTTTGGAATCCTTCATGGATGACCACAGTCAGATATGCAAAAGAGAGTTATTTCTAGAAATCTGCCTCTTGGCTGCATTCAGACATGTTGGACATGGGCAAAGGTGTCAGCATGCACCGAGAGGGTATGCTCCCTTGGGAAGGGGGGCGGGAGGGAGGGGGGGCTGCATTCAGACATGTTGGACATGGGCAAAGGTGTCAGCATGCACCGAGAGGGTATGCTCCCTTGGGAAGGGGGGCGGGGGAGGGAGGGGGTTGGTGGCAGCCAGTGGTCAGGGCCCTGTCCCCAGCAGGAAGGGTGCTGTTCTGCAGCGTCCATCAAGGTGGTCAGGGGACAGTAACCACTGTTGGCCAAGTGTCTGAGATCGCTGGGTGAGCATGCTGGGACAAGGCATATCCACAGGCAAGCAGAGACTGAAGAACCCAGAGAGTCCTTGGCACCCTGACAGCAGGCCTGTGGCAATGTAGGTGACATAAACAGAAAAACAAGACAGCTCTTTAACCAAGGAGGTCTTAGAAAGGGTTTAAGAAGGTGGTCAAAAGGTGCTTTACCAAACTGGTAGACTTTTGTGGTGTTTTGGTAGGTCTCTGATTGATTTCTGGGAATATTAGAAGCATTAAAATTATGCTTCATAACTAGAAGATTTTAGCTTTAGTAAAGTAGAAAGCGTTGTCAAGGAAGGAAGAATGAAAAGGAGGTTGGAAGGCTGTGAAGCCATGGAAGCAGTTAGTCTTGCTTCTTGTAGACAGAGATGGCCTCGTTGTGCACCTTCAGAGACTGGCAGGTATCCATGGAGTAACCATATCGTGTTACCAGGGAGATCCCGTCAGCCCAAACGCGAGGTGGTAAATATGTGCCTCTCCTTGGCATATTTCTGTCAATGCTGTTGTATGTTCAAAACTGGAAGAAGGATTTGCCCTGAGTCTGTGCTCCTCCAACTCTGAACTCATACTGACACCAAGCTTCCCACCTGCAAGCACCGCAAGACCTTTGCAATCTTCCTTCTAAAGCCTGGGCATTATTGGCGTCTAACAATATGACTAATCTTGACATCTTAAAACCTACATAGTTTCAAGTCTGAGATACCTTTTTCCTCTCATGAGGTCCTAAAAACTGAAGCAGCCACATACATTTTCTATAGAACATTTCTTATTTTTTAGTTTAATTGATTAAGCATATTAATCTGTAAATAATTAAAATGTTATATCTAATATTTATAGTATTTATTTATATATTTCTATTTATATTATTTATATTTAAATATAAATTATATATAAATATAATATTTATATTATTTCTTGTACCTAATATTTATATTATTTATTTATTTAATATTATATGTTTAATAAACAATGTCAAACAGTATATATTTAATATTATATAATTATGTATTTAGCCATTTATGTTGATTCTTTTTACAGAATCTAGTTGTTATTATTATAATAGTTTAAATAAGATATGAGTCAGGCTGTAGAGCCTCTGCTCAGTGCTTTATTATTTAGATATGTTGTGTGTCATATTACTGGTAGCATGAAATGCTGTTTCATAAAGATAGGAATTACTTACAGTCACAGTACCAAGAAGTTCAGTAAACAAGTCCATTATTACAGCAAAATGTACAACTGCATAGCAATTAAGATAAGCTGGTACACTTGGATTGAAGGGAACTTCTTTTCCAGTGATCTGTATGAAACAAAACAGATAATAGCCTTCGACAGTGACCTGCTCCAGCCTGTTATTACTTAGTATTCTTTATATTTACAAACATAAAAAAGATTAAGGGACATAGATAATTGCACAAAGTTAATCAACTATCAAACTTATGTACTACCTAGCGTGAGACAGAGTTTAACTCTGTGCGTGTGTGCGTATGTTCACAGCTAAAAGAAAAAGAGGAATTACCGTACTCTATAGAACAATTTTGAAAATCTCTTTAGGAAATGAATAATGAAAAGATAAATAAAAAATATATGTTTTCCTTCAAATAAAAAGAAAAAAACAGAGTAAAACATTCATTTCCTTCAATTTCTGTTCCCATTTCGTCTTCCCCTATGCTTTATGACTGCTAATTTGCTAATTTAAAATAGCATGTGTAGAGTTTTTAACATTGATCCAGTAGCATTAAGAGGTCCAAGTGAATTACACAAAACTGAAAGTGTGTGCATGTTCTATTTACCACTGGGATTTCCTCAGGAAGGCCAAGTCTAGGTTTGCCTGGTCCCCAGCCTGGCCCTTTGAATATGACAGAAAGCTTGTTGCAGAATCCAGGTGTGGCCCAAAATGTGTTCCAAATATGAGCCAAGGGACGTAACTGAAAAAACGAGCAAGTAATTTTTCATTGTTAGTAAAATAAAATTTAATAAAACATGATATTTTATTCAGTTTTAGCTCTCAAGTAAATGATTTTTCAAAGTCTAAAGAGACTAAATTAGGAATAGATGAAGACAGTCAGAAGTTCAGAAAACCTGACTGAAATAGGCAGAAGCCATAACAAGCCTTTGGTTTATAGTGAGGATTACAATGACTTCTGCCCAGAGGAAAATCTGTCTCTTCTGTAATCAATCCAGAGTATTTAACGGTATATTGTACAGCTATATTTATGGTAGTTTTAAATTAGAATTTGGTTACTGGGACCTTGACATGACATACTATCAATAACTAAATTACTTAGTTTCTGACTGGAACAGATATAATTGCACAGGCTTTGGCCATCCTTACAGCCTCCAGCCCAGACACCCCTGCAGGTAGAATTTCTCATTCTTGGAGATGCCTCCGTGGGTGAACAGTCATGAAAAGCAAACAGGGACTTCAATACTCCTCAGTCCTGGAGGTTTTTACAGAAAATTTTTATCCAGCTTAAGTGAAGCTTGGACCTATAAATCTAAGAAACACCACACTAAGTACTTTTTCTTCTTTTTTCTTTTGTTTTCTTTTAAACAAAAAAATATGTTCAACTTGTTCTGGAGGTTTTGTTGAGACCATGATGGCTGCTATATAATGCTATCAACACAAATCATTCTGGAGTACCTTGAACAGCAAATATGCAGAAGAGATAAAAAAAGTAAAGATATTACACCATGGGGTTATGTATGAAATAGCAATATTTAGAGAAGATGAACAACAGATGAAATACATATTTTTGTCTCTGTGTGTCGCTGCATATTGCTCTGCATACTGCAAAATGGACATCATTCCGTCCAAGGCCTGTTATATCTCCGTTGTAATTAGTTGTTAATTTTATTGTATTGTATTTTCATGATGACTACAAGCTCTGCATATGCTCTATGCAGTGAGTAGAAATAATTGTTTTGTAATGAAATACTGAAGAAATTGTAGATAATTTAATTGACTGTGCAGTAATGCAAGGATGGCCCCAATTCTCCCTAAGAGAGGAGTTTCTTTTGAACATGAGTGCCTGTTGAAGATACCAGAGTCAGTGATACAAATATAGCACCTGGAGCATGATGGGATCGAATGAATTTACTGGATGTGTTAAGCCATATACAACTTTTGCATCTTCTGCCTCAAATGTTCCTGATGGAAGAAGAAGAAAAAAAAAAAAAACAACCAACAATCAAATTCAAAAGTATACATATTTTTGCCACACTAACTAAACATGAGAGAGAACATTTTTTTTTTTTTTGCTTACCAAATATCCTGTCCCAGATAATGAGTGTGCCGCCATAATTTTTGTCAATACAGTAAGGATTTCTACCTATAATAAAAATAATTTATGAGAGCAGTAATTGCATATATAAGAATACATATAGCTGAATTATGAAGGGAAATCTTCATCATTAGCACCAATTCATAATCTAAAAATAATTTTAAAAGGTAGCTAACACACCACTTCTTATACATCCATAAAATTTCTTTTTTCTTACCAGGCTTATTGCTCTCTTTCTACTCAAACATACAAATCGAACGCGTCATACCCAAAATTTCTGTGAAATAAAAGGATTCATTTGGAGAGTAAACTCAGTTCAAAATATATTTATAAAGACAAATTAAAAAGCAAACAAAAAATAATTTCACCAGTTTATACTTAAGAAAATACATGCTAAATACATTTATGCACAATCATCTCATTAATGGCTTTCAGCTGTCTCTATCTTCTATGCCATATGTCTGATCCTGCCTTCACTATTATTAACTTCAGTGTGAGGAAAACCAATCCTTCTATCTGTTTTCTAGGGAATGTATTTGTATATAAGCTGTATCAAAAGTATGAGCAAAGAAACATTGATTACATATCCCCAAGTTTGTGGAGATTGTCTGGAGTGACTGTACAACACTTGATCAGCTCCAGTGTGATTCTGCTTAACTCTGATCGGGATCACAGGATTAGTTTGGATTTACAGCAGAGCAAATAAGAGCAGAGTGTCTCCCCCCAGGATTACCAGTACTTGTGCAAATTTTAAGGATTAGACACTTACAGCACCACAGTCTTTTTAAAAAGTCTACACAGCCCCATAAACACTTTACACATGGAGGACATAATAAATATTAATAACATCCTCTGTACATATAACTGCATTTGAGTCTGTTTCAAATTATTTTGTTCTTCCATTCCACTATTACTTTTTTACTTGTTATCTCTGCACACCGAATGAGTCAAGGGCATCTAGGAAATACAGTTCTATTCCTCAGATATGTTCATGACATTTTTCAGTATGCAGTGGAGTTATTAATCCAATTTACATATGCAGTGCGGTCTTGAATACCTCGGAATATTCATGAAAAGTCAATCATCATGCACTTGTGTGAAGTGAGATTTTTCAATAATTCAGACAGCTGAAACCAAATTCCACTAAAACATTTAACAGTTCTTCTTTAAAAGGTAACCATGTCTTGTTGCATATTCAGTGCTTAAATTTGAATGCAAAAGCATCTGTTAGTGATTGACAAGTTGGTGATGTTTTAGTAGTCAGAGAAGGATGAGATATTTTTCTATTGCTCTTCATATTTACAAACGTGTAATTGTTTTGCTCAAAGTCTTCCAATTATTTCACATTATCCAGGCTTAATGTCTGCTCAATAATTAATCTTAAATGTAAAAATTTTAAAATTAAATTTAAGTTATTAAAAAGCTTTTTAAAATACTTTGAAATTTCTAACTGAACAAGGACTATTTTTGAGGCAGTGATCAAAATTAAATTCTTTCTGTAAAACTAATTTTACAGTACAATTTTAGTACTTCATTATTATTATACAAATAGCGACCATGAGAAAAAACACACTGAGGAATAAGAAGTTACACTTTTAGCTTACCATGATGAACTCTGTGATGACTGGGAGTATTAAGAATCCACTCCAGAGGCCCAAGGTTGGTGATAACCTTAAAAAAAGTAATGTTTCAATGAATTTGAAAATACTGTATAAAATCAAGAAGAAGGAGGGAAAAGAAGGGGAGGAAATGCATAAAGAGGATGTTTATCTTAAGGAGAATTGCATAAAAAAACAAGAATGCAATTTTTTTGCCTGGACCATTTCACTGTATTACTGTTACAAGAATTTTAATGAAAAAAGCGAAAAACTTCTTTTTGATCCATCAGCACATTTTACTCTTATATTTATTATCAGTTCATGATTCCATACAGATCATTTCATGCACATTTTTTACCCATATCCATTGGCACTGCTTGGGACCCAGTGTAGCTCTGAGATCCCAGTTATGTGAACACTTTACATCAGCAAATGGCTGGCACTGAACCAGAAACAAGTACTCCTTCCTCCTTCAGTACCTTTGACTGCTTGTTCCTTCTGTCAATACCCTTCTTTTACCCCAGCACAAATGCAGTAACACAACAAACCTGATTAGGGAACTAATGCAAGTTAAAACTAATTTCGTTTTGTTTTTCTAAATTAGTTTAACTGGATCAGTTCCTGAATCTGATCCAACATATGGTCACAAATACACTGGCATGAGTCAGAGGCATGAAAAGAAAGTAGACCAGCATAAATTCATAGTGGAGCTGCAGTCTAAGGCAACGACTCAACAGTACAAAAAATCTAGCCTTGATCATTTTAGTACCAGACCAAAAATGACAGAAGTGTTGATTGCCATAAACTTACTCTAATAATTCAAGCTTTGTCAGAAAATGCTGATGAATTAAGTTTGTATCAACAGGGCTTATGCTAAATTAGGTATTCTGCTGTATTATGGAGCCAGAGGAAAGCCAGCATTAACTTCAAATTTTGTGCTTTGGTTAGCTCAACAGCAGCGTGTGGATACCCAAAACCAGCAACCATTGCTTAATCCCAAACACAAAACCACCAATCACAAATAGATGCAATCACTGGATGACCAAAAAGATTTCCGTTCAAAAATAATCCTAAAATGGTATCTATTCACTGTGTCTGATTATGACCATAATGTCTTGCAATTAAAGGAGGCAAGGGGGGTGGGGTGGGAAAGGCAGTTGAATAAAAATGCTTAGACCTTTAAGAAACAAAACCCAGAACCTATCACTTTGTCTTTTACAGAACTTAATTAGTAAATTTAATACCCATACTGCAGAAATGGGTGATTTGTAATATAATAATAGAGATAATATTGGCAAAAAACACATAACACATTAAGTAGAGAGGCAGACAGTCATTACTCATAAGAGCAGGCCCATTCATCTAAATAACTAAACATACAAGGATTTTTGTTCATTTAAGGTTTACAGAACAAAGTCCTAAAATACGCCAGTTCCATTTCTGTTAAATTCACACTTGTGCAAGTGGGAGTAGATCTGGACTCAAAAAGTAGACATGGGACATTCTTCAGATGTATTTAAATTTTTATGAATTAGTCAAATATCATAATAAAAGGAACAAATACCTTTTGTTCATTTATGTCTTTAATAACAGCTAAAATAACTTCTACTTAATAGGTTAAGTAGAGCATTTCTGTAATTAAAGGATTATAGAAATGAGCAAATTCTTCAGCTAGAGAGAACTGTAATATTTGGAGCATCTGTCTCAAAATCCTACACACACTTGACTGGAAAAGCAGAATACTGGGACAAGTTTGTTTTGTTTTGTTTAACTCAGAAGCCAAGGACAACATTAGTAGGACCATTTGTTTTTTTCAGTTCTCTCTCAAAATAAGTTCAAGCCTGAAAAGACCACCTAAAGGTGAGAAACAATTCATCATTCATGCTAGCTCCATTTCCCACCTCTCTCAAGCAGAAAATCCCACTGTTTTATGCTATGTGAGATGTGACTACTAAATTAATTTAATGAGTCAAATGTCTTGGATTGAACTGCAGCCCAGAACCTGAGAAAGCAGTGATTTATCTATTAGACCACACCTAACTTTGATCCACTTGGTTTCAATATATTGTTAGCTTAGTATTTTAACAATTTTTGTGAAAATAAACCAAATCTGTGCTAGGAGAGCCCAGAATCACTAAGGAACAGCAGTCTTCACTTTTAGCCTACAGGTGGATTATAATAAAATGTCCTCATAATGAATGCCTTCAAGTCTTCAATATCCAGCTGATTAAATTCATATTTTAAAATTAAAATTTATCCTTTTGAAAGTCCATATAATATATCAGTATGTTAAAGTAGAACTTTGTGTCTTGGAGCTCCCTAAGGACCTCAGAAACTTATGTAAAATTTTAAATAAATACTTCTGACTAATCCTAGAGAAAGTATTTTCTCTGGAAAATGAAACCTTTCTCATCCTTTAAAATGGTCCCAGCCCACTACATAGTCTTTCTTTGGGTGATGACATTTACAAATCTACTGAAATATCTTCTCTGCAGTACCATTAGTGATTGATGCCTGAGCCTACTTCAATTCATTATTCAGCCAAGGATATCGCCATTGCAAAGACATACTAGCCACATGCTGATGGAAATATCATCTGATATAACAATTTTAACTGCATGACTTTTAAGCTCAGAGGTGGTACAGAACTCTGTACCTAACCAAGCAAAAATCCAGCATGCTGAAATTAGCAATCCATAAACACTTTGGCTAAAACACATCAAAAATATTTTTTCATCAGATATTCAAAATGAACAGGGTGCTATTTCTAGAAACTTCCTTTGCTATCAGTAAGTTTACTTCTATATATTTAGCACATTTCTAAAACTGAAAAAACTATTGTCAGTGGAAAACTTTTGGTGCCAAAAATGTTATAAATATTTCATAAAGGTATATTTTATAAATATATCCATGTATCATTCCAATAAACAGAAACATATCACTGCTGGAAAGCTGAATTTTGAAGGCTCCTGCAGCACCACATGGCAAAGAACATCATTATTTTGTTGAATTTTGTTGAGTTTTTCTATATTCTGCCATCTTACTGGGGGCAAAACTCCTACAAGCAGATCTTTCTCCAAAGTAAATTGTCAAGGCTAGAATAGTAAGACAATTTTTGCTAGGCAAGACTTTGACCCTGTCATTTCGGGCTGACAGGAACTTACTGAAATCACAGTGAAATGATTGAAGTTTGTAAGAATTGACTCTAACAAAATGTAATGTGGCATAACAACAGCCCATGTTCAAAAGAATGCCTAACAGGCAACGGAGAGGAGAAAGGCAGTGACAGGTACTCCACCTACCCATCTACCTTTCAGCTGTCAGTCTACCCTCGTTTCTGTGCCTTCACTGTGTCCAACCATTTTCCTTGGAGAATGGCAGTTGCTAAGGAGCTTGTAAGTGTTCATGGTAGCAGTAACCAGGCTTAGGCTGCAGTTGCAACTAATCACCAAAGTATATACACCACTAGGTCTCAGTCATTCAAAACAGCAAAACATTTTCAGCTTAAAATAGCTTTGTATTCAAAACGGCTTTTTAGAATAAGAATTTTCACAATGTCCACATTTCAGAAAAAAAGAAAAGAAATCAAAAATTTAAAAAATTAATAAAATAAATGTGATAAGAATAGCAGCAGAGTTCTCAGGTTTTGTGGCAGGACTTTCATTGAAAAAAGAGAAAGTTTTCTGCTACTGTAATTTTTGTATGCAATATAACGTTTTGTTTCAGACCTTCTTACTGGAAAGTAGCTTCAAAATAAAAAAAAAAGAATGGGAAATGTCATTATTCAATATCCCTATCAACTGCACTTTAAACCCTATTTCATACTATTGAAAGGAAAAAGAGTCTGCTTGTGAATATAAAATATTCTTGTTCTTTATATCATCATCTTGCAGTGACTTTTGGAATAGAGAAAAATAGTTACCAATCTCCTAAAAGTTGAAATACCCCAACTGTTGTCCAACGATGACCTTATCTGTATTTTGACCAACACAGCGGGGGGGGTTACGTTTGTGTTTGTTTCCCTGTCTGTGATACAGACACCTACTCTTCTAAATCAATTCCCGTCTCCAATTTTTCCTCTCTCAATTAACACATCATGTGCACCTCAACTCCCATGCCAATGACCCACAGATGAACTGCAGCATTCCAGCAAAATTATTTTCCTGTTTGCTTTATTTATTTTTTAACATTCCATAGCCACAAAAATAATTTTTTACCTGCCAAAATCCTTATAAATGGACTCGATGAACTACAAATCAGATATGTAGGTATCTTATGTATACCACTTATAAAAACTTTGTCAGATCTCTCCACAAAACATGTGTTCCTATTTATTTTTTTTTTTTTTTTTAAAAACAAACAACATATTCCCTCCATTATTGTACTTGGGTATGGCTAAATAATAAAGCAGAATTACTGACAACACTTGAAGCAATTCCAAGAGCCGTTTAGTAAACAAGGCAGGCTAAAAGCTGCATGCTTAGAAACGGTTTCCATACATTACTGAATAAAACATGCTGGAAGTGAAATATACATATATAATGAGAACTAAATGTTTTTTTCTGTAATAGTAGTTCTTATATAAAGATGTTTCCTCTGTGACAGCAATCCCTAGCCTAAAGGAAAAGAACATTATGCAATATCTCTTGCGGCATGTAAGCACCTCCGTTTGCGGTCTCAGAGTTTGTCAGCACCAAGGGAAATCTTTATTGCCTGGTACCTGCACCACTTCAATGTAGTTCTTGTTTAAATAATGAGAAAAAATCGTGACATGAAATCCAAGGGAAACTTTACATCTTGTGTAACAACTCCTCCTGTCACCACTACAACATGAATCTTTACTTAACTCTGTTTCAACATGAACGTTAGGAAGGAATGTCGACTGAGTAGAGCAGGCAATGTTACAGTAAAACCATTCATATATAGAAAAGTTAGGGTTTTTTTTTTATTTAAGTATAAGAAAAGCTGTTTGTAGCACAGCATTACTTTCAATATCATAGTGTTACTGATCTACAGGACAGAAGAGGGCAAATTCATCCCCAGAGCATCACCAAGGAGCACTCTGAACTTAAC